CGAGGCTTTCACCTGCTTAATCCGAAAAAATCTCAAAACCTCGCGCTATATGTTGAACAAAACAAAGAAAACAATTTTTCAATGACGTCATCCATGTATCCGTCCTCTAATCGATCATGGGCAACGACCAATCACAGGGCGTGTAGCATTCACACCATTGTATAAAGGTTACCATCTTTCTTACGCTGGGTGCTCCGCTGCGCGCGCTTCGCCTGCGCAAGAGTTCAACAAAACTTACTCAACGTTCATTTTCGGCGGTTGACCTTTGTTTGTGCCTTTAAAAAAACAGACCTCAAAATTACATTACAAGGAAATTGAAAGCAAGCGGTCCCATAGATTGGAAGCCAAACAATGCCGCGCCTTCTGGGAAATAATTGGGCGACTTCGTCGTTTTTCGACACATGACTCAATTTGCAGAGCTTCTCTGGTTAGCCATTGGGCAACCCAGTTTAAGAATCCCCGAAGGGTCTTGAACTTGAAGTCTGCCTCTTTGCACTAGTTCTCTGCATCATAAATCATGATCGACTGTACCATTCGCATTTTGCTTTGTGCAATGTCTTGTGCCACGTATCACGTGAAAAAAAACAAATTAAACAAAATCCGATGTTGAAAAAAACAAAAAACTCTGAGTTCATAGCGCGTACACAACAGGGGCGCCTTGCAACTGCATCAACGCCTAATTTTAAAGCCCTAAAACAAAAGAGTTGCGACATAAAGGGATCCAATGATACTGATCCCTTAAGAACTTTTGCATGCTCCTCTTACGACTTGCTTAATGTGATTTTCACCGATTTTTTTATAACCTTAGCTGTCCTCCATGCATAGATCTCTGCATGAAACGGTACATACCACTTTAACCCTTTAGGCCCTAAGAGTGATCAGCATCAAATTTCTCCTTGTATTATCACTGCTTTATAAAAAACAGTGGTCATGAGAATTAAAGATATGGTCACACAAGATGAATCTAATTGATACTTCATCAAATTCTCCCCACTACTTCTATTGAAAACGTATAGGGATAACAAATGAAAATTTGAATTTTAATGTTAGGGTTTAAAGGGTTAATTAAAACCCAGAAGGAAAATGGTCTCGTTTCTTGCGGATTTTCGCTTTACACTCATTTAAGGTAGTATTATCATTTTCGTTAATTTTTCGTCTCTTCCGTTTCCACTGGACAATTAGGGACCTTAAGCAACGTCAACGGAAGGGTCTAGTACGGTGACCGGAAGTATTTTTTTCCCGCCACGCGTCAAGCCTCAAGTTCAAGGTACCATGTCAGCGACAGCGCTCAAAACGTCGGTTTTAATTACAAGTGAATTCGCATTCTTTCAAACTTTTTCGCGATTATTACAAGTCACTTATTTTGTCAAATGTAGGCAAACTCATAGAGGAGAAAAGTTCGTCTTCGTTTTTCTACGTCCGCAAAAAAACGTAAAATTAGGCATTTTCACGTCGTGGTCGCGCAGTGATGGCAAAGAAATGTTAAGAAAACAGTAAAGTGCAAGTGCAAAGTTGTTGATTTGCTAATTAAACTTATTGACTGGCCGTACTACGCTTCCCGAATACGTAGAAGATCCGGCATGGCGGGCCGTAGTGTCTGTTACGTTAAGTACCTAGTTGTATTTTACGTGCTTAGAACGCCAGTGTATATTTAAAACAGAATCGCAAGATATACCCATTTTATCCTTTTTTGGTCATCCTTGGAAATTCCTTAACACTCATTTTTCGATCATGAGCCTTAAATTTCGGTGTCAAGCACCTCACCCAAGTGAAAAATACAGCCAAATACGCAAAATACAGTTGACGGGAAAGAAGATTTTTCATAACGGATATCATCTCACCAAGTGGCGTGAATAAGACTGATAAAACACAAGCAAGCCCTGAATTTAATATTTGCCCATGCATCGCCCCTTTTTTACGAATGTATTTTTTTAAAACATTTCTTCGCCGTGGGGGCTCACTGCACGGCTTCAACCTCAGGAGAGTTCGCCAACATTTAACAAGCAAGCGACTTGGAATAATCGCGATGAAGACTGAAAGAACGCGAATAGAATTTTAAGCGAAGTTTTCACCGCTGTAGCCTTCGTGGTATCTTAAAATCTCTGACTTGAGGCATTGACGGGTGGCGAAAAAAAAATTACTTCCGGTCATTGAGGTAACGCCACGGTGCTATTCTTGGAAAACGACGCCTGTTTCCGGGAAAGAGGGAGCTACACTGAAGTGATCGTAGTGGCAAAATCTTTGTCGCCTACATGAAGTTGTTCAACTGAAAAGGTGGCCTTCATAACTTGATTTAAAGATAGTTGTAACTCGAAAATCATCTAATCTAAATGCTGAGTGCTCAGGTTGACTCCTGAATGTTAAAGTCGTCAGCATTATGGCCGGAAATCTTGTGCAGGTAGTTAAACATTGACGATAATGGCGGATAGGATGTTACAAGATTTTGAAGGAGACAAGATAGCAATGTCGTATCAGGGGGAACTGGCTGTTTTAAGAAGACAAGAAAATTGTATTCTTTTGTACGCGAAAGAAGCAACTGAAATCGCTGAACAGCAATGGGAACTGGCCGTCTTTATTCAGAAAGCTGAATAAAGATATTTGTAAACCTCACGACGTTTGTTTTGCCCCAAATAACTATCTCGTTGTTTCGGAGTCTGTCAAGATTTTTGCCTTGGAAGGAGACCAAGAACAGGTAAACCGATTTGTTATTGGCTATAACGCTATATGAAGTCTGATTGAACAAGATGTAAACGCTATGAAGAAAGAATTAAGTTCAAGAATACAACTGAACATGGTGACTGAATTTAGAAACAGTTCGAGTTTCTCACAATATTATATGGTAGGCCGAAGTCGTCTCCTGAGTCACTTATTCCAGCTATTTGTCACATGCGGTACTGATATTTTTATCAACATGGACTAGGATAAACAAAGTCTTATAAATTACTTTCCAATTTCTTCGCCAATGGTTTGGTGCTTTGTGGAACTGATGAAAAGGAAATGATGTGCGATGAAGCAAGCACGGTTGGATATCACAAGGATAGCCATAAGGTTGGAGGCTTCAATCCACTTGTAATTAATAAAACTCACTTCTGTCGCATGTTCTATCACGTTTCAGAAACACGCCATGCTGGATTTCTGTGTCTTCACATATTGTAGTGCAACATTGAAAAGCGAGGAAACAAAAAGAAATTTCTCATTTATGTATGGTAGGAAAACAGCACTCAAGGTGAAAGACTGTACACAGAAATTGATTAACTTATTTAATGTTTATTGCTCGACTGGGAGCATAAAGTTGCATATCTATCTATGCCAGTTGTACAAAGTCGATATGGACGAACCACATGAATTTTCTCTTGCACAAGACATCATAAATGCTCAACTGGGCCTGAAAACCTTGCTTTCTTCTGGTATTGGAGTTATTGCTATGTCACAAGAAAGTTGGACGAAACTTGCTGAATTTGCCGACATTGAATTACCAGAATACCAAGAGAGTGCACGACAAAAGCTAGACAAACATATCGACAACTTCCTTTCGAAAATGAAGATAATACAGACTGCAACACTGCTGAACAGGTTTGCAAACGGTCAGAATATTTTTTAGATCGATGTATGAGTGGCACTGAACTGAACTATAGAAATATGTACCTAACGGGTTTACGTATGTAAACCATTTACTGAAGTTAAGAAAGGAAACTTTGATATCAGAGTACATCAGTAACATACCATAAAGGACGGGGTTAGACGAAGTCTCTGTTTTAAAAGCTTAGTATAGTCAAGATTCAATTAGTTGACCAAGTCAATAAAACCCAATCATCCACATGTTAATTATCTTCACTGATGCAGTTTGCCAATACGAAAACAGTGTTCCTAGTGACGGACGATCGAAAGTATCATTTTTCTGTAATAACTGCAGAATCGAGTAGGAGAGGAATTTTTTTTAGATTTAAGGTATTCCACGTGTGTTTCATAAAAAGTGAAAAAGTTTAAATCAAAATAACGCCAAACTTTGAAGTGTTAATTCCGTTAAATTCATACACTTTCTGTCTTTTTCTAGCGGTCGTTCAATCTTGGCGAACCTGAAAGTCAGTAAAAAGCTTAATTCGGTTTCCGGGTGTTCATTGGAGGTGCTTTTGATATTTGTTGTGTCCTGTCATAACAAATCTTGTATTGAGAATGATGTTGTTTTTAATATGTCATTCTACTGTTATGCTTAATGCATCCAAACATAACCACCATATAAGGCTAGGACTAATGCAAAGAAAAGTAAAGTAAGAAAATATAATATATGAAAAAAATCAGGGTTGAGGGTTTCAATACCACACAACTACAACAAACGTATAAAGAGTTAGCTGCCATGAGATCAGTGAATTCATATGAGGAGCTGGACCCGACTAAGTCAACCCACATGTGTGTCACTGAGACTATTTTTGGAAAATAGGTCATCGCCGGTTTTCCCTAAAAGGGGGCTTTTCTGGGAGTTATGACATAGTCATTTCAGCATATTTAAAAGAAAGTCAAAGGAAAGTGCTCAGTAATCTTTTTTCTGTTCAGTGTTCCGCATCGTTTCCGCGGCGTTTCGAACCAGCTGCCGCTGCTGTGAGTGATTTAATTCTCAAATCATATTTTTAATACAAGTCCTTTCTTGTTTATCATATGTTGACTGAAATACAGTGGAGTTGATGGATTATCGACGACTTTATACACCAGATGACTGTACTTCAATGCAGTCCAAAATTAAAGAAGAGTGCGATAAAATGAGCATTGTTCATGATCACAAAGATAATCACAAAGTTGGTGGGCAGAATCCTTTGGCAGTTACAAAAGGACAGTTTTGCGCCATGTTTTATCATGTTGCTGAGAGAAAAAGAGATAAAATTTGCTATAAATGCCTGGAAAAGTCGATGTGTCAGGTCGGGAATTTAAAGATCACGAGGCGTTTGCGCTCGAATCCAAGAGTTCGCGCCCTAACTGTTGTAGTGTATGTTCGGTTGACTGACCGAATGGGTGACTTGATATTCCACGCCAGATATGGAAATTGTTTCCAGGGTAAAAAGAGAAATACAATCCATGCAGAGCATTTTATGCTTGAAGACGAAGAGTTCAAACAACATGTGAAACTCTTAGGAGATCAGAAAGGGGGAAAAATTGAGATGTACATGAACAAACAGCCTTGCTTTAGATCAACTAGAGTGAAGACAAAGGAGTGCGCCCAAGAACTGATCAATTTCTACAAGTTATTCTGCTCATCACATGGAATTGAACTCACTGTAAATCTTTGCCAGTTGTCCAGAGTTGATGTTAACATGCAGCTCCCTTCGCCTTCTCTAAACAACGACATTCAGAATGCTCGCCTAGGGGTGCAAATGATGATGTCTGCTGGTATTGAGCTCAAAGCTATGAATGAAGAAAGGTGGAAAAAACTTGCAGGATATGCAAACATAATTGCCTGAGTACATTGATGGTGACCGGCAAAAGTTAGATCAACATATTGAGGAGTTTCTCCAGGGAATAAAGCAGGCTCAAATGACTTTTTCCGTCAGTTCTCCTACCTTAACCCCAGTAAGGGAGTAGTGTAAATATGCCAACTTTGGACCAACTCTAAAATATTGTTTTCCGTCCTGTTCCCGGTTTTCCCCGTTATCCATTTTTCAGATTTAGTCTATTTCATCCATTTTCTGTCATTACACCTAATTTGAATTTAAGAAGTTAAATTTTATGACTTTAATGTCTGTCATTTTCATTTGTCATTTACTACGTAAATTCAGACTAATTAAAGTCTACAATCATTATTTGCATAAATTTAAAAAAACTCATAAATCTCATAAAAACCATAAAAGTATAAAAAATGTGAATATAGTTAAGATTTAAGAGAATACTACCTCGGCCCGTTCGGGGCCTCTGGGAAAAACCGGGAAAATGACGGAAAATAGTATTTTAGAGTTAATCCAGAATCGGCATATGTACGCTACTATAAACACATTCAATATTTTTACATTACAAGGGAAATCTCCTATTGGCAACATTTGCTAGTTTGTTTTGACTTCGTTGAATATTTGATGATTTGCAGGGTTTTTTTCCCGTTTTTTAACCAATCAAAGTGATTGAAGAACAAGATAGAAAAAGAGAACTATTTTCTCATTATGATTTTTACCTTTATGATCCAGAAAATTATAAAACAATATTGACAGAGGAACCTAAGGATAGGAAAATTGAAGAAAGAAAATACCGTGGCTTTCATTTTAACGATGATCAAATGCAAACAAAAGAGGATGGAAGGAAATACATAGAAATTATAGAATATGAAGAAATGGATTTATTTGGTGATTGTTTAGAAGAGATAAAGAATAACATTATCTTGATGAACTTGAGAAAGAAAACAGAAATTGTAAGAGGAAGATCTTGAACTTTCATCATGATGAAGAAGAAGATTAAAATAATTCATAACCCCTTCGGCGCTTTTCTTTATGCCGATCATGTTTTACAACTTTATCTGACATTATAATAAAATGACCATCGATAAAAAGATTGTAAAACTTGTAGTTAATTATGACAGTAATGAAAACAAAGATGAACCTAAAACTAGCAAAAATATCCAGTGGTACTTACGGGTTTTAAAAGGCCGTCCGGGACCGAGTTGCCAGTTAGTCTGTAAGATTGTAATAGCAAGAAAGGACACTCATTTTCAAGTGTTTCAGTATCGTCCTGTACAACTTAGCTACCCTAAATTAGAAACTGAAGTAAATATTTTAGACATTTAAGATTACCCGGCTTTATCTACTTGTTTTTTGGTAAAAAGTGAAACCCCGAAGGTTACAAAGACTTAGAATGAATAAAACAACAGTTCGCAACAGTGAAGGACAAGGTGGGCGATCACTCATCAGTCGGTTCATGCATGTTCATTGGTATGGGGACCCCAGATTCTTCCATGAAAGTGTAACATTTATTTTCCGTTGGTGTAAAGGTATTGCCGTTGATTTTTTTTTTCAAAAATCCTTCCGCGAGAAAAAATGACTGCCGCACTCCAGATAACAGGTTTGCAAACTGTGTCCGGAATATCTTTTAGATCGCCCTACCAGTGGGGGAGCGCTGAACTGAATCATATTACAAGGCCCGGTTCAGACAACCAACTTTTCATGAGCCGAACCCACAGTGAGGTCAACAAATTGTAAAGTCAAAATAGCGAGGTTTTACGATTTCTTATTTACACTAGGTTGAAGATAAACAAAAAATAAATCTTTGTACAAGTTTCCATTCCCGTAGCATGTTTCATTTCGAAAATATAGCAATTTGAACTTCCGAGTTTTCGCAGTGCGTGACACCAAAATAGGAATGCTGTCTCGTTGAAAAAAAGTCTCACCTCTTGATTTTCAGCAGTAGTATATCCATTTCAGGTATCAGAAGATGTGTTTATGAGCACGTATGCTAGTTCTTGAGTGAAAAGAAAGAGCTTTTATAGACAAAGTGAACTCCAGATGTTGTTGTTGATTTCTGGCGGACCTGGCGGCCATATTGGTGCACCAAAACGGTGCACCAATATGGCGTCGCCATACAAAGCTCTACAAAGTTGCGTGAAACGTTTCGGCAAATAAGTCAGAAACTGCGGGCCACAAAGACCCGAGACTTGGACAAATTGTTTATATATTAGTCTTTTATAACATTTCGTTTTCTTGGCCTCTTCCACTGGACGGTTTTCAATTTATTTGTTTGTTGCGTGACAGTGAAAACGATCAATACATTGAATTAAGTACATGAAAAGTTCGGTGTAGTTCGGAAAGTCGGAGCGGCTTAGCCGTTCTTCACGTTAGCCGGGCCGGGAATTTCGACTATGGATCGGCGCCTTTGATTCGGATGCCAAACTTTCCTTGCGCCCAACCTAAAGGATAAATGATAATAACGTACTTTGCAAGCGCTTTCACCGAAACGAGCATTTTTCTCCTTTTGAATTTAGTTCGGATGGAATTAAGATCGGCGTCTGAATCAATTCAGGTGGTCTAAATAATTTGGGTTGGCCTTAATTCGAATTAGGTTTGGCTCATGAAAAGTTCGGCGCGTGGACGGGGCCTAAATTTTCCCTTTAGTTAGTTAGGAATATGTACCCAATGGGGCCATGTGTGCAAACAATTTAAAGTTGAGAAACAAAACTTTGATATCAGTGTACATCAGTAACGTACCGTAGAATGTGTCCCAGTTTTATAGCTGAATCGTCCACATGCAACTCTCTTTGCATTGATGAAGTTCGCCGATAAAACGAACGGTGTCCCTAGTAACGGGCGATCGAAAGCGTCAATTTTCTGTCACAATTGCAAAATCATGGGGAATATTTGTAGATCAGGTGAGGTCAGTATTTTACGTGTGTCTCATAAAAGGTAAAAAGGTAGAAGGTTTCAATGAATAGAAGCGCGAAACACATGTTCTAGAGTGTACAAGAGTTTGAAGTTTCAATTCACTTAATACCTTGCACTTTCTATATATCTTGGAAAAGTCTGAAAGCCGTTCTCCAAGAAAGTCAGATAAAAAGCATGATTCGGTGTCGTGTTCAAACATGTTCAAAGGAAGTTCCTTTAATCATTATTATGTCCTGCAATAACAAATCTTGTATTGAATGATACTGTCAAGAATGAACATGCTACTGTTATGCTAAAATTACATGACGCCGGGGCGACTTTCGCCCCGGAGTGAGTTCACACAGGTTCCCTCTCATGGCTCTATATTTGTTTACATGATACCACCACAAAATGTCGTGCCGGCGCGAGTCACCCCGGCGTGAGTTCACGCCGGTTCTTGTACCGGGGCGAGAATTTCACTCCGGTACAAAATCAGGTCGTTTCGCGTACAATGATACCGTTGCGACCCGTTTCGGCGTTAAATCAGTCTGCCGGTAGACTGGAACGGGTAGCGCATGCGTAATGTTTGCGACTTTGAATCACACCTGTATTTTATCAACATGAAGTGTACCTTCAAATAACGAGATATGAAATGGCAAAGTCATCATGTAAATGATTGCGAAATCAAAAAGTCATCCTGGTATGAAACTCGCGCCGGTGCGAGTTTTCTCTTGTAAACACCCCCTAAGACATAACGACCGTATAAGGCAAGGCCTGATACAAAGATAGTAACATTACAAAATAGAGAAGAAATGACAGAAATGAGTGCTCTAGGTTTCAATAACACACAAATAAAACAAACTTATGGCAATACATTAGTCATTAAGAGCCACTGAGAACAGTCTGGAAAGGAAATGAAATATGTCACTTGTGTGACGCTGAGACTATGTTTGGAAAAATACGTCACCGTTTTCGCGGAAACAATGGTTTTTCTAGGAAATATGAAAAATTTCTTCATATGTAGTCGAATGTTTTTTTGTGTGTGTCAGTGTGTCTTGAATCGTTCAGTCAAACCTTTCGAACCTGCTGTTAGTACAGTTTGTGGCTGGTTTGATACTCCCTTCAATTTTCTCCAATCTTTGGAACAGTGCTGCCCGTGACCTTTTACAAAGGGTTTGATAAAAGTACTTCGCTCTACTCAGTAGCTGAAAATCATGATAGGTGATCGAGGCGTAATGAGCGAAATAGCGTTGGCCATTTCTGATGAAGGACGACTAGCGGTTATCAAAAGAAGTGAATACCGAGTCGAGTTGTATGGTGGAGCAGATGGTAAAGATGCAAGACCGGTAAATATAACGACTAAACAAAATCTTATAAGACCATACAACCTTTGTTTTGCCCCGATGAACCACCTGCTGATCACAGATATCGGTGACCGCAGTATCAAGATATACAGCTTAAAGAACAAAGAGCCTGAACTTGTGCGGAAAATCGCTTGCTACGAAAAGAAAGCACAAGCTATAATCCAGATGGAAACTTCTGCAGGCCCTTTTTCCGCTCTTTCATCGTCGTCAGATAAATACCTGACTCCTTTCACTGTAACTGCTGGACCGAGTCCGCTTTCTCAGATTTTCGCTGTGTTTGAAAACTATATTTTTGTGATTACCATTGACTGGAATTCACTGGAGTTGATCGATTATCGACGGCTTTCTACACAAAGTGATTGGAGTTCTGTACAGTGCAAAATGAAAAAAGAGTGCGATAAGACGAGTATTGTTCATGACCACAAAGATAATCACAAAGTTGGAGGACAGAATCCTTTGGCAGTTACAGAAGGACAGTTTTGTGCCATGTTTTATCACGTCACGGAGACAAAGAGAGGCAAAATTGATTTTCATTATAAGTGCCTGCAAACGTCGAAATGTCGAGTTGGGAAGAAGGCAAGGTCAAACCCAAGAGCTGACTACGCCGCAACTGTTGTAGTGTATGTTCGGTTGACTGATCAAAACGGTCGCCTGATATTCCACGCCAGATATGGGAATTGTTTCGAAGGTGAGAGGAGAAATACAATTCATGCAGAGTATTTTATGCTTGTAGATGAAGAGTTCAGACAAGCTGTGAAATTCTTAGGAGATCAGAAAGGGAAAAAAAAAATTAAGATGTACATGAACAAACAGCCTTGCTTTCGATCAACCAGACACCACGATAAGATGCCTGGACTGAAGAGAAAGGAATGTTCTCAAGACTTGGTCAAGTTCTACACATCGTATTGTTTATCACATAACATTAAGCTTACTATAAATCTCTGCCAGTTGTACAAAGTTGACATGCCCTCTTCGTCTTCTCTTAAAGATATTGAAAATGCTAAGAAGGGCATGGAAATAATGAAGTCTGTCGGTATTAAGCTGAAAGCTATGACTGAAAATAGCTGGCTACAACTTGCAGGCTATGCAGACATCGAGTTGCCGGAGTACACTAATGGTGATGACCGGCAAAAGTTAGATCAACATATTGCTGAGTTTCTCAAAAGTATCCCAAGCTAAGTTACCTGTTCCGTCAGTTAAGGTGTACAACCAAGGTTCTTAACTTAGCTCTATCGAGCCCTACTTAAGGTGATGTTACACGGGACAATTCGCAACGACGATTTTTAGTGCAACACGGCGTTGCAATGCTGCAACAATGTTGTATCCATTCGAAACGATGTCGCAACAATGTTGCGAGGCTGTGTTGCGCTAAAAATCGTTGCTGCGAATCGTCTCGTGTAACATCACCTTTAAGGCCCAAAAACGAAAAATGAAACCCTGTTTTAAGGGGAAACCGAGAAGGTAAAACTGCTGGAGCAACTCGTTTTTTTTTTTTTAATATAAGGAATAGAATTGTAAAGTAAACTTGTTTAAATAGTTAAATCGAAACATTAACATAAATAACTGCAAATGTTCGAATAAACGCCCTCCTTGAAATTAAGAGTCTTTCTTCTTATTGGCGTCCTTACCCTTCCCAAAGGCACAGAAAATCACTGATTATTTTGTTAAGACGTAGAATAAAAGGAGTTCAATACGCGAAATCAGACGACCCAAGACCGAAGAAACAGAAATTTGAGAGTGACCACATGCACACAGACTTGTGTTTCTTGCTGATGTGTTCCATGCAGAACTTCCATAAGAAGAATTAGGAAGTTTCTCGGTCTTGATTGTACTCATATTTTGGTCAACACGTTTGTAACGAGCCGTCTGAATTATTGGAACAGCCTCTTGTATGGCTTGCCTAACAACCTGCTGCACGAGTGCAGAATGCAACCCCCAGGCTGATCTGTAATGTTGGAGGCTTCGATTACATCACTCAGTCACCGCCTTATTTAGCCTCCACTGGCCGCCAATTAGATAAAGAATTCAATTTAAAACTTACTTTTTACCTATAAATCCTAAAACTATTCCCCGATACAATCTAAGGTCTTCTAATGACAAACTATTACCTCAGCATCGCAATATAAGAACTCTCGCTACTCTTGGTGAACGTTAATTTACAGCCGCGGCACCAAAACTATGGAACGATCTTCCGGTGGTTAATTATCCGCCATGCCATTAATGTCGTCGCTTTTAAAAGCCTCCTAAAAACCCATCTATTTAGGAAAGCGTATAGCTGCTAGTAGTTTATTGCCATTTTATTGCTGAGAGGAATCTGATACCCAATTCTTCGTTTCCTTATTTTTTATCGTAAACTGTTATAATGCAAATTCATGTACATGTAATATTCATCTTTTTATTCATATATTTTTTTATATACTGTAATATGCACCACGATGTTTTATTGTAATCATTCTAATGAAATGCACGTGTGAGTATATCTCCATGTAACACGCGCAATAAATAAGTCACTAAATTACTATTATTATTATTATTATTATTATTATTATTTTGAAGGAGTCAGTTTGTTTGTTAATGAAAAATGAAAGGCGACTGAACATCCATTTTAAAGTTTTCCCCGTCCTGCACAACTTAGCTATCTTTATTTGAAGATGAACAGAATATTTAAGACATCAGATGTTATTTTCATCTCCTTTTTTGGTGAAAGTGAAACAGGCGAAGGTTATAAAAACTCAGAAAAAAGCAAAACAGCAGTTCAGAACCGTGACGACAAGATGGGCCGATCGTTCATCAGTCGGTTCATGTTCACTAAGTTGAGGACTCCAGATTGTTACATCACCATGTAACATATATTTTCGACTAGTCTAAGGGTCAGTATAGTGGCACAGGTAGTTAATCATAGATCGTGATCATGGAGAATGGGATTCTTAAAGAAGATTTTGAAGGAAATAGGATGCAATGTCTTATCGGAGGGAAGTGGCTGTTCTTAAAAGGCGCGAGAACTGACAGCATGAGCAAAAAAATGATGGGTGGCGAGAAAACTGTTTTGATGCAAAAGACCATCTTGTTGTTTCGAACATCAGCGATAAGTCTGTCAAGATTTTAACCTTGGAAGGAGACCAAGCGCTGACCAAGAAGTTATAAATTAATTTGTTATTGGCTTTGACGCTACCCTTTGTACAAGTTGTAAAACGGTATATAAAGAGAGAATTCAGTTCAAGAATACATTAAACCACATTGGAACCCCACTTTTTGAACCAAACGTCGTTTCCCTTGGATCTGCTTCGGTCAGACACTATACTGATTTGACCCTCGATTTTTCAAACCGTCGATTCTAAACTCCCGATATTTCGAATTACTTCTGTTTCGCTTCAAAAATTTACATTCGGTCTCACGACCTTTGAAAATTCAGAAACCAACAAAAACCGGTTTTTCGAACCAAAATAGTCGTTTCCGTCAAATCTGCTTCGGTCAGACATTTCACCCCCGAGTTTTCGAACCCTCGAATCGAAACTCCCGATATTTCGAACAAATTTATTCCTTTTTCCTTTCAAAAATTGACATTCGATTTCTCAAACTTTTCAGACGTTTCGAACCAGCTGTCGCAGTACTCTGAGTGATTTCATAAATCAAGTTGTGAATATAAGTCCTTTTTTATTACCATATATTGACTGAAATACAGTGGAGTTGAAGGATTATCGACGACTTTCTACGCCAGGTGACTGTAATACAATGCAGTGCAAAGTTGTAAAACTGTGCGATAAAATGAGCATTGTTTATGATCACAAACACAATCACAAGGTTGGAGGGACGCCGAATCCATTGAGGTCTCCATTGGCAGTATCAAAAGGACAGTTTTGCGCCATGTTTTATCATGTTAGTGAGAGAAAGAGAGATAAAATTAGCTTTAAATGCCTGGATAAGTCGGAGTGTCGGGTTGGGAATTCAAACATGACGAGGCTGAACTCGAATCCAAAAGCTGTCTACGCCCGAACTGTTGTAGTGTATGTTCCCTTGACTGACCAGGAGGATAACTTGATATTCCACGCCAGATATGGAAATTGTTTCCAGGCTAAAAGGAAAAATAGAATCCATGCAGAGCATTTTATGCTTGAAGATAAAGATTTCATACATTATGTGAAACTCTTACCACGAGAAGGAAAAATTGAGATGTTCATGAACAAACAGGCTTGCTTTGAATCAACTAGAGTGAAGAGCAAGAAGTGCGCCCAAGAGTTGGCCGATTTCTACGACCGCCATTGCTCGTCACGTAAAATTGAACTTACTATAAATCTTTGCCAGTTATACAAAGTTGACATGCGTCCTTCTCCTCGAGCTCGTGAAGGCGATATTAAAAATGCTCGGGAAGGTGTGCGAAGAATGAAGTCTGCCGGTATTAAGCTGAAAGCTATGAATGAAGAAAGCTGGCGACAACTTGCAGGCTATGCAAAAATCGAATTGCGGGTGAAAATTTATCGTGATCGGGAAAAGTTAGATCAACATATTGCCAAGGTTCTCCAGAGCAGAGAACTCCAAGCTAAGTAAGCTGTTTCGTCAATTTAGGTGTACAACCAAGGTACCCATCCTTAACTCTATTTGCAAAAACTAAGAATGAAACCTTATTCTAAGAGGAAAACGATACTGACGTAAAAACGGCTCTAGCAACCCGTTTATATTTCTTTTCCCTTCCAAAAAAATAAGGAATAGAATTGTGAAGTAAACTTTGTTGAATCGTTAAATCGAAACATTGAATTTATTCTTAGGAAGATGGGGGATGTGAGAAGGTGTCTCATTCTACAGCTTAGCCCCATGCAAAGCGAGAGAAAGACAGTCTATACAATTTCAGTTCGGAACTGTTTTTTGAAAGCAAATTTCCTAAAGCAGATGCTCTTGTATTGTAAGAGTGGCTACTCCTTGTTTGTTGAAATAGATTTAGAATGCTAGAAGGTACATTAATGTCATCATGCATGAAGATTGGATACAGTCTGATAAAGTAAAGAAAGTTCGAGGGTAAAACGTTGGCGTGAATGAAGAGAGGTATTGCATGATCGCGTCTGCCGAGAAGTTTATTCTCCGAAGAGCTCTTTAGTAGCAATAGAATTTTGTTGAGATGTGTCTTTGATGCTTGTCCCCAAGCAGCAATTCCATACTTGATATAAGGTTGAGTTGGTGATTGATAAATTTCAAGAAGAATTTGCTTGGGTACAAAATGACGTAATTTTGCAAGTAAACCCATGCATTAAACTGTTTTGCTGTTTTTAAAGAGACAGCATCAATATAGTGTTTCCAGGTAAGGCTTTTATCAATCAAAGTGCCAAGACATTTAATATAATTCTTAGATTCAAGAGTACCATTTTCATTTCTCTAGTTGACAAATAAGCAAATTTTAGGTTTATAACACAGGCTTTTTTTTCAGGTTGATCATGAAAGATTACAAATTAAAGTTGGTTTACTAATATTGAGAGTTAGTTCATTAGATGTTACCCAATTACAGAGTTTGCACAATTCAGCATTGACTACCGTTTCAAGAACTTCAAATTTTCTCAGCATAAAGGATATTGGTATCATCAGCGAAGAGACAGATTCTGTTTCTTTTCACTGATGTGTTCTGGTTTACAGTTCCATGCAGTTTGTGTTTACTTGAAATAAAAACAATCTTATGTTAAGGGCGAAAGTTGAAAACAAAAACAAAAATAACAAACATTTATTAACCCCCTCCCCCACCAATAAGCGCCACTTCTCGACTCAGAACGTAAAATAGGCGTCCCGGGAGCTGATTCATGCATCTGATGTTAGTTCAAGATTTAACACCAGAAAGGCTTGGCTTCTATACGCTGGAAACACTTCCGTGGCATCCACGGCTATATATAGGCGGATGTCCCGGGCATAGTTACAAGTGAGTCTGTAACATTGTAATAGGAAAGAAGGTTAAGAAAGTCAATTTATTTGATGGAAAATGAAATGTGACTGAAACCCATTTTAAAGTTTTTCCCGTCCAAACAAAATCCTCAGTGGAGATTAGCTAAGAAATGAGAAGGGGATTCGTAAGGAACCTGAGCGTGGAAGCCATGTTCTTTGTTTGAAGAAGAAAAAAAAATTGTTAGTCTTGCAGGGTTACACAGTAACCGTGGACTGCCTTTACGTTGGTGGATCGAAAACAAAACTGCTAAGCACTTCTG